CCATGCAATAGCATAAAAAGACAACATTATCTTAAAATACAATATATATTAGTTACATAAAACAAGACAACGTTATCTTAAAATACAATGCGTAATATATATTAGTTACATAAAACAAGACAACGTTATCTTAAAATACAATGCGTAATATATATTAGTTACATAAAACAAGACAACGTTATCTTAAAATACAATACGTAATGTATATTAGTTACATAAAACAAGACAACATTATCTTAAAATACAATAATATATATATTAGTTACATAAAACAAGGCAACATTATCTTAAAATACAATACGGTAATATATATTAGTTACATAAAACAAGGCAACATTATCTTAGAATACAATACGTAATATATATATTAGTTACATAAAACAAGACAACGTTATCTTAAAATACAATACGTAATATATATTAGTTACATAAAACAAGACAACGTTATCTTAAAATACAATGCGTAATATATATTAGTTACATAAAACAAGACAACGTTATCTTTAACTACAATACGTAATATATATTAGTTACATAAAACAAGACAACGTTACCTTAAAATACAATACGTAATATATATTAGTTACATAAAACAACACAACGTTATCTTAGAATACAATACGTAATATATATTAGTTACATAAAACAAGGCAACATTATCTTAAATACAATACGTAATATATATTAGTTACATAAAACAAGATAACATTATCTTAAAATACAATACGTAATATATATTAGTTACATAAAACAAGACAACATTATCTTAAAATACGTAATATATATTAGTTACATAAAACAAGACAACGTTATCTTAAAACACAATACGTAATATATATTAGTTACATAAAACAAGACAACATTATCTTAAAATACAATACGTAATATATATTAGTTACATAAAACAACACAACATTATCCTAAAATACAATACGTAATATATATTAGTTACATAAAACAAGGCAACATTATCTTAAAATACAATACGTAATATATATTAGTTACATAAAACAAGGCAACATTATCTT